TATATATATATATAGATGCATACAGACAGCGTGCGGCACCTCGCTAGAATTTATCTCCCGCCGATCTCGTGGGTGCACCCATTGCTCCCTTTTGTGGGACACGCGGTCTCACGTCACGATCTTGCTCGGTTAGTAAGTTCCGTTTTCCTCCTCCTCTTCCTCCTCCACCTTACATGCGGCCAAGAATGTCGATGTTTACAGGCGTATTATCCACGAGACGTGATTACCTTAAGCGACGACGATGTATTATATCAACTCCACCCAGCAAATGATACCGCGCAAAGTTACTCGCGGAAATCCACGGGGTTACAAGTTGTTTTTCACGGGCGAAAGCGACGTGCTCCGTAATCGGAATGAAGGAAGAGGAAAAGAGAGATTCCTTTTTCCATCGAGAGATACAATTTCGCGCGCTTTAATTCATCATGTAACAATGACTGGTCGGACTGGAGGCAAAAGCTCTCTAAAGCGATTTCATAATCTGACACAGAAATGAATGACTTACTGTAAATTAGAAAAGTTAGTGGAATTTAAATCGAAACCAGAGAAAGCGAGCCGACGAGTGGAGCTTTCAAAATTAGAGAAGTGTATTTATTGTATAAAAAATTAATCAATTAGTGATATGTTAATTACGGGGAAAATTAAATAAGTTTATATAAAATCTTCTTACTTATTTTCTTCTGCTGTTATCCTAATTTGTCATCGTACTTTCTGTTTGATTTCGTCATCTTCGCTCTCGTCCTTCTGCTATTAATTATATTAACAAGCGCTCGTGAAAGACAACTTGTAACCCCGTGGATTAACTTTGCGTGGTATCATTTGTTGGGTGGAGTTGATATAATAATACCACACAGCGTCGTCGCGTAAGATAATCATGTCTTATGGATAATGCACCGGTAAACATTGACATACTTGGCGATCTGTGATTTTAATGAAGTCGTCGTAAGGCTACCGTTTTCTGATTAAAAAAACTGCATTTGAATGCTCGAAATCGTCCGACGACGCTTGTCATTCAAAGCGAAGGTCTCGGCTCCATTTAACCGTGCGACCTAATTTAACAGCTTTTTCTTGCGGGACGATTCTTTCCCCTTGAATACCAATATGAGGCCGCTTTGCCTCTCCCGCATTGCTATTTGGATGCGCTCGCCCACCCGTGAAATGTGGGTAGAAAAGAAAGGTTAATCGATAAAATTTACTAGTAAAAAAACAGCCATAACTGCGAAATCAGGTGGCTGTCTTCTCGCGGAGAATTTCGTAATGCCACAAAATTTATGTCGAATTTTATATTCCAGAGCCTGATCGGATTATCCGACTTTGTGTCTGAATACTGGCTTTATAAAAACCATCTCTCGCAATTTCGCGTCTGTATATACCGAAAGAGCAAATTAATGCGCAATTAACGATCGCTATAATTAAAAGTATCATAATTAATAGACGCGCAGCTATTTACGCCGGTTATAAAATCGATTATAAAACCAATGTGCCAGCGCAGAATTCTATTTCCCAACAATCCCAACGTACAGTAGTGCATTCGGAGCAGCTTACGTGGGTGGTAAGCTGCGCGTTCCTTCCTGAAAACTCCATTTAGCCTGGGAAATCAGATTTTATTAATTTCGTCGATGACTTCACTGGCAGTCGCAATATATGCACATACGGACGTCACAAGTGTTACAACACTTTCGTACGTTATTTTCAAACGACGGGAGACCCGGTCAACGAGCGACAGAATCATGGAAAGTGGAAGTGTCGGAATAACGACCGTAATTCCGAGCCGCGGTTCTCCGGGCGGATCGCCTGGACGGTATTACGTAAAGGTCGTTGCCGATGAAGAGTCTCTCGGTGAAACGGCGGCATGCTTACTGGTTTATTGCCGAGCGTTCTCTTTCTCTCTCTTTCTCTCTCTCTCTGTCTGTCTCTCTTTCTCTACAGTCACTTACCTGACAGCAATGCCGATCTACACGCTCGATGAAGGCGAGAGTACTATCTTTACCGTCGTATTACTAGATCCATAGAAACCGAGATTCTCCGTAACCCCGTCGACCTTATTGACACTGGCCTTGAAAACGATTGCTTCAAGGTGCACGAAAATTGACAATTTGGACGTGACCGGCGCATCGTCTATCTTTAGAGCCCTTTCGACTTGAATCTAGACTAGTCATGAATAAGTAATCGAATCGCTCGATATAATTTCTCTCTCTCTGATGCTTTATAAAAGACGAAGAGATACCTGCTATATATAATGTATTTATTAGGATAATAATTTATAGATATTAAAATATACTATTTTCCTTATAAATTTCATATAATTGTTATCAAACTTGTATGATTTTCGTCGAAACGTCGAACTTCTTTTTTCTACCCTTTCGCGAACATTTTATTAACATAATTTTCAAGCCGCGGTAATATCTTTTAATATTGTATATTATAAAGTCCAGTTTCAATTGTAGAATTAAATAAATGCGACAGAAAGATATTCGTTGATGTAACGAATGGCCGCCAAATTTTCACATTACCAGAGTTCACATTACTCATCGAGTATACTTATCGTTTTTATACTGTAATATTTCTTTCCGCGCGAATATACAAGGCTGATTCAACATTTCGTTAAGTATGTCGAAACATACTTAATGCGTAAGAGAGAGAGGTATGATATAAGTTAATTAATTTCTCCCATATTTTACAGGAATTTCGTGGCTGGGGTCCTGCAATTCCAATTGTACCGCGCATTATGCCAGGCTGCGGGTCAAAGATCCGAAGTCGACAATCCGAGGAGGCCGCTGCACAGATGTGACTTTTACAGAAAGCCCGAGGCCGGCAGGATCTTGGGGTGAGATTCAAAAAATTCAATAAATTATCGTGCACTTATAAAATCGGACGAAGCTAAGGCAATCATCTCTGCGTCATTTTTTTACGCCACGTCTTGCGCAAATTCACTTTGTTCGAAAAGCGGACGTGTAGGCGTAATAAAAGCCCGCGTCTTTTAATAATTGGTATTTAATCAGCATGCACTCCGAGTACGTGCTTTCGCAACGGCGTGTTCCTTTACGACACGAAAACGAACGCGACGAGATCGATGATCGATCGCGATCGGCTTCGTCGAGTTCGTTCGCGAACGCCCGAAAGAGCGAGCGTTTCTCACGTCGCGCTTGTATATCGTAACTTTTTTTTACAATTAAAAAAATTGCGTCGCTAGTTCGAGCCCCCTTATTTCGACTTCCGACAGGTGACGCGAGTGCGCAAAGCAAGTAGAAAAACTAGTACTTTACTGGTTAAATGGCTTTACTGGTTAAATGGTATACTAAAATATTGTAAAAAAAAAAAAATACATCAGTGAATACGTAACCGGTAACTCGTTTGACGCCGACGGATGTTAATTACGTATAATATAATTGGAGAGAAAAGATATCGACACAGAATTTTTTTAATTTACGTGACACATATTTGAGTAAAGGATATTTGCAGATGCGTGTTAGGCATTGCATTAAAATGTTCGCGCATTTCTGATAAGACCGAAGATTATCTGAGTAAGCATTGAAATTAAAAAAACTGCCGTGTAATCCAGGTCGAATAAAAAAATGTAGATCACGGAGAATGTTATAATATCGAGAGAAAGGAGCAGGATGAAGGAAACCGCTCAATGATAATGAATGACCGCAACTTCATCATTATCTATTGCTTCAATTACATTACTTTTTTTCCTTAATGCAGAATAATTCTTAAAACGTTTTGCGATATTTTTTAAAGAGATCGCAGTATGTTAAGAACGATATTTAAAGTTAATTCTGCATCGCACAAATGCGACTATATCTTAATTTTATTTATAACTAATATTTATAACTAATATTGCAAAATTTTAAATATTATTAATTGCCAACTCTTGATTTCTTTATTTTGAGACCATTTTATCACAGCATCGCGTTAAAAATACCGTCGAATAAACTTTAAAAGATACTTCTGAAGATAGCTACGTTTATCGCCCATTTCTCTTTCAAAACTTGTTAATTATATCCAATTTTAAAAACGTTGTTTTTTATTCAACCTATCCGGTGACCATACAGTGGAGCCGGATTGCCTTCTTAAAATGTCAGTGGATCCGGATTGCTATTCCAAGAATCCGCAGAATCTCATAACAAGGCGGGGCCGAATGAACTCGATCAATGTCTCATTCCAAGTCTTGATATTTTGTCCCCGAATCTTCTTAAGATTCAAGGTTACAATTTTTTTAATGTAGAATACATAAAAAATACACACGAGATGAATATAAAATCTGAGACTTCCTGAAAAAGAAACGAGAAGAGATCGCTACATCTTATCGGCTGGTATTTTGCCGATCGTCGCGACTAATTTAAAAACGGATGGAATATTAATTCCTATATTTAAAAAAATTATATGGCTTGTGCGTGTTAAGTAATGTGACATTGTAATTTTTATTAGTCACCTTGTTGAATTATTTATTTAATTATGAGTTTGATTTCGTGATTCGATGACACGGTCATATGCACTGTCCACGTATACATATGTATGACATAATTCTTCAAAAATATAAATTATATATTTTTTTAAACATTGAATTTCAAAAGCGGATAGTTTAATTCAGACTAGATCGCCTGGTCCGACAATTTAATTTTATATCGCCACTTGAAATGGTTAGTTGAATTTCGTATTTATTTGCTTGCACAATCGCGTCCATTACTTCTTATGTAGCTATATTTGGAATATCGAGCATGAAATCTCTAAGACGATTTCGACATTTATAATTGCGTGTCTTCACGATGTTTGTTCTCGTATGAATATCTTCCAAATGATCGCTCGCCAGTATAGACACTAATTATTATAGCAATTATTGAAAGAAAGTAGTCATTAACGATTCTAAATTGGTAAGGACTCGAGTCTGTTTTGAAACATTTTAAAAGACTATTTATGACAGTCTTTTTGTATACCTTATCGATTTTTACATACATACATTTAATATGTTTTTTATTATTTCCTTTTACGAATAAAATTTTTTTTTCTCCTAGATATTAATCGTACGAGATTCGGTATAAAAATTTAAAATTTAAAGAATTCCTCATTATTTAAATTATTTTCAAGTGGTTTCAGTTTATTTTTCCCAACAAATCCTTCTCTGGAGAAACCGCATATGTTGTGTCTTGCGTAGCTGGGAGCAATAAAAACACGCTTGCGAGTCGTTGAATAAAAATTGCAAAATTAAATGTGGGCAATGTACACACAGTGATATAATGCGCAATAATACAGCTAGCTGCCTTGAGGAAAAAAATGATGCTAAGTGGTCGTTTTTAGCGGCAAAGTAGCGATTCTATGTTTACGCGGCTTCTAGGCTTCGCGCAAACCTTCGGCGCCAGGGATCGCGGTTTTGCGTCGTTGATTACGGGGCGCGCACATTATGCACGCGAGCGCGATCGTGATCCCCGACGGGTGTTGCAAGATGCGTGCGCCACGGTAATCACGCTTATTGTTAAGATCGTATCGTTCTATCGTGCAAGACACGCCGATTTTGACACGCGGCGCCTTTATTTGACGGTGAACTCTCGTTTGCACTTGCTCGTACGCCAAGCCAAACAAACTTCCTCCGTTATCCATTGGAGATTGGTCCACATTGAATTTCATTGAGTGTATCTCGTGCGTGGCTGAGCATTACGTCACCGATCGCTTCACGATCGGATCTTGATCGTATTCTCGGCGGACGTACTGGCGGACGTTATCTGGGTCAACGAGAGGGAAATCTTCGTCCGGTTCTGCAATTTCTCCGCTGCGCCAGACGTTTGTCCTCTCGACGTTAAAATATCGCGGCGCGTCGTTTCTACAATTTTATTTAATTAAAACGAGAGTACCCCGATAATAATTACGTTTGATAGTTATTTACGGAAAGCGGAGACGTCGATCTTACAATTAGTTCACGTTTAGAACGGCGGACACGTAATCGAGCTGTAAAACTAGGCAAAACTGCAAAAACACGAGCGTTTATAATCAGTACGTACTACATCGATATTACACATCGATATTTATATAATCGCTGCTGATTACGTGGGTAAAAGTTCTTGCAGTAATAGTTGTACGACATGAAACGTGTAATACGATTTCCATATTTGTCAAAAGAACGATGATGATAAATATATGAAGACGCAATTTTTATACGTTATGGAAATACCAGTCAGGATCGATTAGCTTTTATGAAGATGTTTTTTCACTTCATTGGAATTTATAATCATTCCAAAAATTTGATCGACCTCTGTTGACTTGCAAAATATCTCGAGTGATTAAATTCCAGTGCGCATCGAAAGGTAAGATAATAAAACCGGTGCGATGTAAAAAAAAATCGTAAAAAGCGCGAAATCCTGCCAAAGACTGGGAAAGGAGCGAGATAACATACGCACTTAGCTGAAACACCTGGGTTCCTTCACAGTTACGAAATCTCATTCGCGTTAAAGAGTTACATAAAATGACAAAAAGCATCGGGCGGCAATAGTTTTATTCTAACATGATAATTTATGTTAGAAACGTTCCCGTCTCTTTTACGATGTATTCGTGAGCTGGGTCCGCGGACTCTATCGTGCACATTTCCAAGCGTAACGCGGGCAAAGTTTTATAGATGTGGAAAGTTGCATGATCCTCTTGGCAAGCGGAAACTCGATAAGGATTGTTCCGCATTTGAAGGTGGTCGGGTTCGTAGTAATCGAAATCTTTTGGCGGACGGCCAAGTTTTGCCGAGCCGTCCTGTAATAAAGCAGTTTTCTCAGAAGCTAAACTAATCTCGATAGAATATAAAGCTGCAATATATATGAGCAGTAATGCAACAATAAATTATATGTAAGACTCGAGCGAAAGATTTATAGATTGAAATTGGAATTGGCCAAAATTACGATTAATTGTGGCAAGCAATTGTTGAATAAATGCATGAAGAAATGAGGAAATTCCAACGATTCTTCATCTATGACAAGTTAATAAATGTGTCGCGGTAAATGAATTAAATCACATTTATATTATATTAGAATGTATCTCTGATCTTTTTTATCGTTAGAATATGTCCACTCGTTGCTTAAGTTTGCGATCGATACACGAAAAAAAAACGGTTCTGTTAAAGTATCTAAAAATTTAGTTAAATTACGGATGTAAAAATATTTGTTGAACTATTAAAATATTTATATAGGACGCTCAATCTCAATGTAGGACGTGAAAAGAACGATGTAATATATGAAGTAGGTATATGAAGATGCAATTTTCATACGAAAATACCAACCAGGATCGATGCTGCCAAAATATCCAAATTTATTGGAATATTGCTCATTGTGTTTGAGTTTTATACATAATTATTTATATAAGCCAGTGAAATTGTTATTTTTAATTTGTGTCTCTCTACATTGAGAAAAAAATTATTCATTAAACTGAATTAATTGTTAATTAATGATTGATTAAATTAACTTAATTATCTTCATTTCTTTCGTTGAAGAATGTATATATTTAAAAATCAAATATATTACGTTTGATTTAAACATTCTTCATCGAACGAAATAAATATTATACGAACTAAATGATTTTAGTTTAACTAAGCAATACAACTAAATCTCTAAATATTTTATCACGCAGCATGTTGCGAATTGTCGGTATCCAAAGGAAAAAGCTAGCTAGCTAGATTTTCATCGTACGCGAAGATCGAGATTCCATCGATCAAGATGCCGACTTCCTGTAATCGAAGGACGATTTCAAACTCTCGCTTCGCGGTATGCATTGATTATGACGCGATATTGATTGCGAAAGCACGGTACACGCACAAAAAAAAAGAAGAAACAGAAAACGAAAATAGTGTAA